CCGACAGCACCAATGACGGCAGCTGCTGCAGCAGCTGCGGCAGCAAAGGAGACAGAGAGATGAGCTTGCTGCTGGTTGCTGCTGCTCGAACACCTGAAGCAGCCCAGCTGCCCGAGACGCCGCAGCCAGCAGCAGCAGCAGCATAGCCCTCTGCTGCACCTGCATGCAGCGGACGTGGCCCGCCTTCGAGGCGCTGGGTGCGCTGCAGCAGCAGCTGCAGCAGCTGCTGCTCTTCCTGCTGCTGCTGCTGCTCCTTAGGGTACACACCCAGCGCCCGCAGCACCAACTCCCGCAGCAGGTGGAGGCTGCACTGCAGCGTCGCCACTATGAGGGAAACCACCTGTTCGCAAAACCAGTCAGCACCAGCAGCAGCAGCAGCGGCAGCAGCAGCAACAATGCAGCAGCAGCAGCAAAGGCAGAGGAGCCGCCGCTGAAAGTGCAGCTGCAACAGCCGCAACGCGAAGCGGAAGCAAAAGGCGACCAGCTGCAGCAGAACGTGCAGCAGAAACAGAAGCATTAGGTAGCAGCAAACGCGGAGCAGCTGTAGCAGCAGCCGCAGCAGCAGAAATGAATTCGCTGCAGCAGCAGGTGCGGAAGAGGCTGCACCCACCTGCGGCTCCGAAGCAGCAGCAGCAGCTGCAGCTGCTGGCGGACTCTCCAGCAGCAGCTGAAGCGTGGCTGCTGCATGCACTGCAGTGCATGTGACTGCATGCACAGCCTCAGCAGCAGCAGCAGCAAGCTGCATGCACAACACAGCAGCAGCAGCAGCAGCAGCAGCAGATATGGTTACAGCAATTTGAAGGCCCCGCTAGGAGTGGCTTGGGCAGCGCCTGGGAAGCTGCAGCTGCTGCAGAGGCTTAGGAACAGGCTCACTGCTTCCGCGTTGCTGCTGCTCCTGCTGCTGCTGCTGTTGCTGCTGCTTTCGCCCCAGCAGCTCAGAGCAAAGGCCTCGATGCTGCTGCCTGCAGCAGCCGACCCACAGCAGCAGCAAAGCCCGGGCGTAGAATAGGCCACCGTAAGCAGCAGCAGCAGCAGCGGCAGCAGCAGCAGTAGCGACAGCAGCAGCAGCAAGCTCACCAACAACATGGGTCCCCGTCAACAGCAGAGACCATTTCAACGAAGGACCTGGCAGCAGCAGCTGCAGCAGCAGCGCATTGCTATCCCTTCCAGCTGCACCAGCAGCGCCTCCAATTTGCTGCTGCTGCTGCTGCTGCTGGGATGCGCGGGCGCGCAGCAAAAGGCCAGCTTGGGCAGCGGCTTGCTGCTGCTGCCACTGCTGCTGCTGCTGCT